AAATAATCCTTCGAATATTTATATTTTATTCTTTTTATTTTTAAAGATAACATCGGTTGTTTCACAATGTCATTCTAGCTGTTGAGAAGAAACAAGCGAAAAAGGAAAAACTTACTTCGATGACAGGATCGACAGATGCACCCAAATAAACAACAACTTCCTCGAAGAGTGTTATTCCTACTGTTGTGAAACATAAAGAAATGAGCAAGGTATGGTTCGGCCTGTTTGTTTTCATATTTTATTATGCTTTTTTATTACTTATTTTCGTCTTTTAAGGCTAGTTGAAAACCCTCTCTTACTCCAAAGAATCAACCTTCAACTTTGGAGACCCCAACAACAATTGAAGATGATGAAGATATATCTCCCATTCCTATAAGGACAAAAAAGACAAAAAGGAAGAAAGCTTCAACTTCTGAGGTACCTTCTTCTCAACCACCAAAGCCTGTTGAAGTTGAAACGCTACTTCTTGCACATAAAAAGATAAATAGTTCGCAGCCATCTGACAATGTTGTCTTAGAAGAGACTGAGAGTGATAATTTGAGTTATGGAGCTGAAGGAACCAACGTAATATTCCCGAATTATTCTTTTCGAAAATACCTTTTTCAATATGTTTTTTACTCTACTTCTTTGCAGGATGTTCAACCAGTTTAGACTGAGCCACCCATTGTGTATGAAGTTCCACCCAACAGTGGCACTGCTTCCTATCACCCCCTATCCACCAAAAAAGATTCGAACAAAGGTTCCTCCACAGATGTGAACCAACTTGATTCTACTGCACGACTTGACAAAGAACTTTCCTCACAACCTAATACTACTCAGGAGGAACAACAAATTGGCACTAAAAGGAAATCTGTTAATGAAGGAAAATATGATTACAACCCCAATGATTATTCTCCAAAGAGAATGAAGCCTAATGAGGACTTTATTGATGTAAAGGAACATATTTATGATGATATATAACAATACTTCAAAGAGGAAGATGAAGAAGAGGTGTCTGTTCATACTGAGTCCAAAGATAACATGAAATCTGCTGATCAACCAGATAATGACAACCTTCAAATACAACACTCACTCGAAGAGCTAGATGTTTTAAAGAGGAATAATCCACTTGAATATGTTAGGGTGATGATGAATTGACGAAGTTCTAATTCATACAAAACTCATTCCAGCCCTTCGACAACGTCTAGTGAAGGCTTTGTCAATGCCACTTTTGATTAACTTCTCCAAAAGGTCAAAGACAAAGTCTTCGATGCAGACTTATTTGATGGTTTGAGGAAAGATACTACTGCATGTTATGGTTTAAAAAGGATAATCAACCAAATTAACATAGTCACTTTCTCTCCTGAAGTAGCTGAAGTTTTAATTGACGTAGGCAATCTCATTGATCAAGTAAGTACAGACTTCAATCGAGAGCGTGATATTCTGTCTAAACTCTACAAAGTACAAGCTGCTCAAGCCACTAAATGGGCACAAGTTGTTGTTCCTTCCAACAATTCTAAACAGATGGAAAAGGCTTATACAATATCCTAAGAGGAGTTCCATGTTGATTTTCGATCAATATCTCTCTGGAAACAACAGATCAAAGAACTTGAAGAAAATATTGCTAATGTAGAGGCTTGCCAAAGGGATGTCAAAAGTCAAGATCGTACTAAAATCGATAAGATGATTTCCTTAAGCGTTTAACACGTCGAACAAGCCAAAAAACTGGAAGAATAAGTTGCTACACTTCAAGCTACACAGTCCTCTATTGACTATAGATTAAGGTTGGCACAAATCAAATATGACAGATGAAGACAAAGTTACCCTTTTGATTTGGTGATGCTTATAAGTTGCCTTTCTTTTATGCAACTCTTATTGTGTAACTTTCTTTTGAACACATCCATTTTGGTATTACTTGCTTTATGAATACCATGTTGGCTTCGGCTGTTATGTGCAAATTACTCTTGTTTTATTTTAATTTCTTGAAGAGCAGGCTTATATTTCTTCAAATATTTTCCATTCACCTTCAAGATTCTTTTATCTTTCTTTAATTCTTCAATTTCGTACGCACCATTAGAAAAAACATGGATAACTTGGGAAGGGCCTTCCCATTTAGGGGACCATTTTCCCAATGTTCTATCCTTTCGATCCATGGGTAGAATTACTTTCCAAATGAAATCATTAATCGAAAATGATTTGACTTTCACCTTCTTGTTGTAAGATTTCCACCCTCTTTTTCTGCCTCCTTAGTAATTCTAACGCAATTAGTCTTTCTTCGTCTAGTTCAACTAATTCATCAAACATAAAATTCCAATATGTATCAGATGGAATCTCATGTTGTCTCTGAATCCTAGTTGATTGTAGGTAAATTTCAACTAGCAAAACTGCATCATGGCCATATGTCAGTCGAAATGGTGTAGCATTTATAGCTTCTTTAAGGGAAGTTTGACAAGCCCATAAAATTTGGTCCAACGCTTTATGCCAATTCTTTGGCTTCTTCCCCAAACGTTTCTTAATCAAACCATTAACTACCTTATTTGCTGATTTGACCTGGCCATTTTCCTGGGCGTGATAAGGTGTTGATGTCAGCAACTTGAATCCCATTTCGTTAGCAAACTCTTGAACCTTTCGACCAGTAAAAACTGATCCTTGGTCAATTGTGAGAGTCTTTAGGATTCCAAACCTATAGATGATGTGCTTTTGGTTGTTTTGATTACAACTTCTTGATCAACGCTCGCTAATGGTATCACTTCGACCCATTTGGTGAAGTAATGAATACCTACAAAAATATACCTTGATTTTTTGATGACGCTGGTCTAATATCTCCAACTATGTCTAAAGCCCATCCTCTAAAAGGCTATGGTTTCACAATGGAATGTAATTTTCTTGCAAGGACATGTTGCATGCCTGGATGTATCTGGAATTCTTGGCATCCTTTAGAGAACTCCACAAAATCTTTAAGCATGGTGGGACAATACATTCCTTGTCGAAACAAAAGCCATTTCATTTCATGGCCTACTTGGTGTCCCCCACATGTACCACTATGGACACTCGAGAGGGCTAGATATGACTCAAATTCGCTAAGACATCTAAGTAAGACTCCCTCAGGTGTCTTTTTAAATTACTCATTACCCATAAGAATATAACTTAAAGCTTGGTACCTGATTTTCCTTTCAATAGAAGTTGTTGGATTCTTCAAATACTCTACTATTTCCTTCCTCCAATCTTCGTCTGGTAAACTGCCTATGGCCAGGATTTCAAAATTCTCTTCTTCAGCGTACCCTAGTGTTGAAGTCTTTAAATTTGATGAGGATAATTTGGTTGCAACAAATCTTCCTCTAAATTCAATTGCATCTTGTAACTTTTCTTTCGAAATTTCGTACCCAAAAGTAATTTTGGCCAAGTCATTAGCCTCTTGATTTTCAAGTCGAGGTACATGTCGAATACTTACCATTTCGAACATTCATATGGGTCGAATGACTATTACAAAATACATAACTAGGTTTTTTTTAACGCATTTTGTAATACGATGGGAGAACTGACTTTTTTAGCATTTTATCGCAAATGTTGCGGATAACAAGAGTCGCCACTGACTTTTCTTTTATCCAATATAAGGAAAGAGTGAAAATAACAGGAAAGACCTTGATAGATTTTGAGTTTAGGGGGTAAGTTATGAAAAGGGAAAATGTTCGCACCCTTTTCATCTGTAGTTATCTACGGGCTCTTAATTGCTAGCTCACTTTTGAAAATTTGCTTTGTGTGTGTGATTTGTTTGAAAATATTGAAAAGCCAAAGTAAAACCAACTTTGTAATGCTTCTTGTATTAGTCCTCAAGAAAGCGTACAAAGTGTTTTAGAAATTATTTCATTTGAAAGTGTGATGTGTATTAAATGTTTATTTTAGAAAAGATTGTGAGCCAGCGATTAAGAGTTCCTTACCCACTAAAGGTCGTTCTTATTCTTTTCCTTCACCTTTAGAGACAGTGTTATCCGTACCATTAGTTGGTAGGTAGCCCTATTGTAATTCCCCTAACTTGTCCTACCCATTTACTTTTATCTGGTTTATGCATCTCACGCTTTTCTCAAGCATTACCTTTCCATTAGGTCATTTAATGCATCATACATCATTGATCAATAAATTTGGCTTGGGATCAAGGTTAGGGATAGAGTTTGGGTTCACATGATTTGAGGTGCGTATTTCATACAAGCTTTGATATATTGAAGTCTTCCTAGTCTTGAATCAGATATTTAACCATGTGGTCACTACATACTTTTTATTTGACTTCATGCAAGGCTTACCTTCATAAAGGAATTCTTAGATCATAGAGTAAAGTTTATTTCTCTATGCTTGGATTTGTCAAGAGAATCAGATATGAGGAGGACATGGTGTACTATTGGACTATGCAAGATTGGAATAGATATTGTCGAAACTTTGGCAAAAACCCTTATCAATTTTCTTGCTGGATATCATCTTATATGATACTTGTTCAAAATTCTAACGGAATGATAAAATGCATATGGAAATCAATGGGACAATACTATTCATAGTTTCATTCAAACGCTAGGCAAAGTTCATAAGCATTTTCGTGGAATCCAAGAAGGTAATCTTCATTCAATATCATTTCAGGGAGATTCAACCATACCATCCAGATTTCATCAATGTTCCTTCAATTACAAGCACACAAGTTCATCAAATTTCACTTAGGTTTTAAGAAATTTCCAATTCCCTCATTCATTGTCAAAAATCCTCATCATTCCATATACAACATGAAATCAAAAGAAGGAGTACACAATTTGAAGGAGAAGTTTGCTTTGGATTGGAATTTATCATTGAATCTCAAATATTACAAGGTTACATGGTCATTAAGTTCCAAGTTTCTATTATTACATCACAAGTATATTACAAAATTTACACAAAAACAAAAACCTATCCTAAAAGCTTTATGCTCTCATCTTCATTTTCTCCAAGACTATTCATTTTCTAATCCATGCCATAACCAAGTTTCAAGTAACATCCTTGCTTCATATGTCTTCCTGCTTCTTCTTCATGCTCGAAGTAAAGAACACAATGCCTTTTGTCCATCTTCCATCTTTAAATCGGCCATGGCTTAACATCAACTTGCCTTTACAATAATTACAGCCCTTCACAACAAACAAGAATCAGTTTATACTAATACCACTACTGTGTCTCCACGGCCTATTCAAAGATTCTACACAAATTAGGAGAAAATAATTAAGTCAGAGAAAATCTAAAATATATAACAATTCAGACTGCTTAACAGAAAAGCCTAACAGAACTTTCTAACCAACTTCCCAACCTCTAAGAGTTTAACAAAATTTCAGTTTTACACCTATAACTATCCAAACAGAAAAATAATAGAATTTCTGTAACTGACTCACAAACTAACACCATAACAGAAACCTCAAACTTCCCTCTAACCATTCTAACCACCTTCTAATTGTAGAACTTTAAAACCTTACTAACTAACAGTGTTAATTCTGCAAACAACTAACAATCAACTAATTCACTGGCAATTTCTAAACACCTCATAACAACCTTTAACATAATCCAAAAAATATAATTAACATTCTAACTTCTCATCCTCACCACTCGTTTCTCTAACGTAATTTCAACCGATTCCAATCCAAAACAAAATTCAACATACATTTTCTAACAAATTCCCATCTCTAACCATAACCCCTAACTACCTTAACAGAAAAACTTCCAGCCAACAGAAGAAAAAACTGAAAATCAGAAATAAGAGTGGGATACGATTCACTTCTCAGAAAATTAGTTAAAAAAAACTCACCAGAAAATCTCTTCTCTCGCTGCACAATCCTTAAAGCATCTCCATATGCTTCATCAATCTTGGATTCTGCATAACCTTCATCTTCAATATCTCCTCTCTCTCTGCATAATCCTTCAAGCATCTTCATCTTCTTCACCTTCAATGGCTTTCTACTTTTGAACCTTATCCCAATCCTTTCTACAATGCTATTCATCACCGCCATCACCTATATTCATCCTTGAGTCTTCAACCGCATCACAATCAACAATCTTCAACTTTGAAACCGCCACTTTTGCATCTGCATCGCAAAGAACACAACAAGAACACACCGTTCACCTTCAACACCAAATTCTCTACACATTCGCATCGTCATCGCAGTGGCATTGTCGCAACCTGCTACAACATCACTTCTCCAATGCATTGCATCAATTCAGAAGCACAATCTCATGACACATGAATAATGCAAGAAGAAGGAGTGAAGCAAGAATTATACGAAGACAAAAATTGAGAGATTAGCTCAGAATTCTCACTGGAGTTCATCATCACCTTGCCGGAACTATGAATTCTTCAGTCAGGTTCTTCCATACTCCTTTCAGGCTCAAATCTTCATCATTGCATCTCACAATGACATTTGCGAATGGATTCACACATGAACCGCTCCTTGATGGCGCTGATTAGCAAGTTTATGGAACTTAGGGTTTGTTTCCCCCTTTCTCGATCTGATTTAATGCTTAGTCCCTTAAGCTTTCTGGCTTGAATTTGTGACCAGAAGGCGAAGCAAAATAGGGTTTGTATTTGTGATGAGGTGGCCAGATGTTAGAAATGGCAGAGATGATTGAGGCGGTTCGTGGAGGTCGCGTATTGTTGAATAATGGGGTTAATCATCGATTACATGAAGAAGGTGAATGGTTACAAGTTTGAACCCTAACTGTCTCCTTGAAACGCACCGTATCCATCCCTTTCATATTATTTTTTTTTTTTGTTTTTTTGTTAATTATAAAAAAGATTATTCTATGATAATGAGATGGTGATACCTTGCTGAACTGATCCACCCTTGTCCTTAGCCCAAAGGGAAATTTTTGTTAGCTTTCTGATTTGTAAAAAAAAATTGTTATTGGATCTTTTTGGATGGGCCTGAAACGAATCCTTGAGCCTACACATTTTTTTGAGGCCATTGACACAACAAAAAGAATTCCCAGACCTTTGGATGGGCCTAACTCCCTGATCTCTACACCCCTGTATTCTAGTTTCACCCATGACTCCTATAACTTCCTTTTTTATTATTTTGGTTTTCTTATAGTTTCATCTTTTCTTTCAACTGATAATAACAAAAGGTACAAAAATAGTAGATTTTTTAAGAATTTTTTAGGTTATCTCTTTAGAATTTTATTAGAGTTTTCTATTATTTTATGTTTAATAAACATTTTCATTGTCATTTTTAGCAAAAATTTTGTGATAGTATGTTGATGTAACTTTCGCAATGGGGAATGCTTAGAGATTAATTTTTCGATCACTTTTGTATAATAACTTTGGTAGAGTTTTCTTATCGCTTGTATGGTTTTGAAGAGACAACGGACCTTCTCCGTTTTGAAGAGCCTGATAAGCATGTCGATGCGATCTCAATGCATTGCATCCAGTTATTTCCTCGCCTGATGGAAGTTCAACTGGTAAAGCTCTGACCTTTGGGGTCCTCCTCACACAAACATCTCTTCTGATTACGATACACATACTAGATGTATCCCCTGTTTCGGGGCACCCAGTTTTAATGTTGAAGACTGTAAAGGGGTTGAAGTATAAAGCCTAACACCTGTCAAGCGTCTCTTTCAAAAGTCTAATTCCTATTTGGCCAACTGTTGGACTCTTTCTTACCAGGTGGATGTCTCTGTTATTCTGATAGAAGATGAACTGTATTATTTCTTTGTGGCGTAATATGCTTGGTGATGCAGTTTATATTGATTCTCTTGGTAAAGAATCCATTCGCTCTCCTAAAAGAATCTTATACGCATATATTCTGGGGAACCTCACCATTTGATTGAAGATGGTATGTCATCCAGAGACAAGGTCCAAGACAAGATCAATTCAGAGACTATTCTATTCACATCAGGTCATAAGGGGAATTCTCTCGCCCTTTTAAGCATCAAGATTGCAGAATGTCACCAGAATCAAGAAGTCCATACGGAGTCAAGTCTCCTCAATGATGGCAATCATTGGTTTCTTTACTGCATTTTCATTTGCATTCTTTCTTGTTTGTTTAAACATTGCTTGTATATAGAAACTTGTTCATTTTTGAGTGAAAATCTTAATGCAATAAATATGCTTGTCTTGAAGTGTTCCTTTTATTTTTATTCATCCATTCGTTATCACTCTTCAAATGTTTTACTTGCATATTGATGCCAAGTTTCAGAGTATTATGCTTAGGTAAAGATTGGAGGGAGGATGACGATAATTTAAAAATGTAAAAAATCTCCGGTTGCTATGCTTTTGAGTAAGACCTCGCAGGAGATGTACAAGCCTTGTTTCAATTCCTAAACACCGGAGACATAAGGGAGATAGGCTCTCGTTAACCCATTCGAGCCTTCGAAGTAGGAGTTTCTTTTCTATTAAAAAAAACCCTCATTTTAACCCTAGGGCGGAAAGTGTTCAGTTAGTCTGATCAAGTGTTCAGAACTCATCAAGAGTGTGCATCCAAGGATACAACAACGGATATTTATCAAAAGGTTGAGGAAAGTTAAAACCACAATGGTTAACCCTCATCTATCAACAACGTGCGTCAATTAACGATATCCCAATGGGTATCTCTCGCAAATCAAGAAGTCGAGATCGGATGCCGATACAACAATGGTTATCCATCATCTACTAAAGACTCAGACAGTTATATTCACTTCCAATAAATCAAAGACAATGTGAAGATCAATGACTTGTTCAAATAGAATGTATGAATAAGAAAGAAACAAAAAGCCATGCTAAGTCAAAACCGGTTCCAAATTGAAATTCAAAAGAATTTATCCAGGCCAAAGCAAGAAAGAAATTGAAAATCCTAAAAGGAGAGAAAAGGATTACCAATAAAAACCTCTATCGTGAGAACAAGGTCATGTGATCAGACACCAAAATCAGAAGTTAGTGACTGTTGTGTCCAAGAGGCCTCAGTGGTTCCCCAACTATCAAAAACTCTTCTCGAGAGATGAATGCTTGTATCGGGTCAACTGAACATAGGAATGGAGAACATCATGGAGAATGGGTGGGCACCAAATAATTTTGAGCCTCAAATCCTTTTTTTCTAAAATCGTGAACCAGGCCACGTTAAAACCCATAAAAGTCCTAATTGAAGCATGTGTCAATTTGAAAGCGTGCTACGACGAGATAACGTTTAACTGACTCCTAAGAGGTATGTTTAAATATCTGTGTTGGCATCATATGCTTGCATTATATTTCATGAAAAAGAATTTTCAAATGTTGCTCTCTAGCCAGTGACTCGTTCACAATAGAGTTGTGACATCATTTCATTCAAAGTTTTTTCAAACTTCAAGACTTACATACGTGTTGCATTAGAATTATCATTCTCGTAATAAACATTCTTCTGCATACAAAACAACTGATTGACATCAAGTAAGTTTACACAATGAACATCAGTAAAGAGCTCAATCTTGTCATAGAAGAGAATCATGAATACTTTGTTAAAGTAAAGAGTCAGCTATCGCAAGAGAAATAACTTATCCAGGGGCACGTCAACCACTGATTATCTCAAGAGAAAGCATCTTGGTGCTTCACAGTCTGAGTACCCTTTAGGGATAAAGTTAGCAGATTCCACCAATCTGGGGCAATCAAGTCAAGATTCGATCTCTCAGAGCTCGGCCAAATCTGGGGCATTCCCTCAAAGCTGTCAAATCAGAGTCCATCACACTGATAAATCTCTTTGACCTATACTCAGTCAGAGGCTATCACGTCGATAAATCTCAAATAGCCATTAACCTGAGGAAATCACGTCGAGAAATCTATTTAAAATTCATTCAACCTGGGGAAGTTACGTCGAGATCCGATAAATCTCTCCAAGAAATCTGTAATCAAGAGAAATTTATTTTGTAACACAAGAGATTGGTGCAGGCCACCTCATATCGTATTGTGCCACAGATATTCTGGTCTTCTATTCAACATAGATCCTCTCGGAAACTCTCCATACAGGGGCATTCCTCATCCGTACTTACAAAGTTACTCAAGCGAATTATGATATACAAGACGACTACACTCAAGATAAAATCATCATAACAGTCAACCCGACCTGGTCAATGCACGATGTCATTCTCATGTTCTATAGAAAATTTCAAACCTGATTCCCCAAGTGAATTCGAAAAGTCTGAAGTCGTCGTTTGACTTGGCACGCGCAAGTGCACATCCCCGAGAGCTAAACCGGGGCATTCACAGAGGTGAACCAAGGCATCCCCAGTGGATTAAACTGGGGAATTTGCAGAGCTGAACCAAGACATCCACAGAGTTAAACTGGGGCATTCACGGGCGTCCATGTCCATCTTTTTATCCCCAAATGATTCAAGAGGTAATTCCCTAATGTGGCGTAAACTTGGGACGCGTATTCGAAGAGATCCACATAGTGTTCAGTATTTGTCCTTTGGAATATTCAGTTCTACCATCCTCTCAAAGGTTCGGGATTTAGGGAAGTAGGACCAAATTATCTCTTTCCTAAGAACACAATTCAGAATTCAGTGGCGTACCTGAAAATTTGCTTTGTTAGCGATTCAATCTTCAGCGGAGTCATCAATAATCTTCAGCACCATGAGCTCTCCAGCACAAATCGGTATCCCTAGTGATCCTTGGTACTATAAGTTTCCAACTCCGATATGTATTGGCGTACCCGGTGATGAGCAATAGTTCCCAACGAGACTTTGTTTATCCCCATAAAGTTTATTTTTGTGCATTTCATATAGTTATCACTGTATAACATTGCATCTTCAAAAGCGCGTAGCCGATCCATCTGAATGGATCTTTGCGGAAAAAGAAATTCAAACATGCATACGAAGCATAAGCCATATAGGGTGCTTTATATTGTACCCCAATTTCCCCCCTAAGATTCCTCTATTATATCATATCAACTCAATCATAACAAGATCACACTAGGGTTTGGTTCTTTTCCTTATCTTTAGCTTTACTCATGAGGAATCACCAAGCACCTTAACTTGTATTTTGTGACCATCTATTTTTTGT